TACACGACCAACGGAAAAGAAAAGGCTTTTACTCTAATAAACTCCATATAACAAGCAGAAACAAAGCACAAAAATGGGTTCTTGACTTCTTAAGGAAAAATTAGAGACTTGAACGGTCCAATTCCGAGTTCAAATGGCCAAGTTATGGCCATTTGAAGTTTATATGCTCTTTAAATGGATATTTACGAATTTCTTCATTTAAATTTTGATTTAAAATCGGATTTATTGCGTCAGCCGGGAGAGAGGAGCGCGCGGACCGGGTCCACGGGAGTGGGGCCCACGCGGCAGGCTCTCGGTCCACGGTGGATCGGGTGCACGCGGCTTACGCCGGCCGGCGCCGTGGGTCCCACGCGTCAGCCGCACCCGAGGGCGCGGGCGGCTGACGGCCGGGCCCCACATGGCAGCCGCGGGGCGCGCCCGAAGGCGGCCTCGCCGGCACAGCCGACGGGAGGCGGCGCACCCGCGCCCCGATGGTCGCCGCCGGCGACCACCGGCGCGGCGGAGCGGCGCCCGAGAGAGGGGAGGGAAGGGGGAAGCGAAACGGCGGTCCACGGCTCACCCCGGGTCGACGGCGACGACGGGAACGGCTACCGGAGCGGAGGAAGGCGGCGGCGCGGCTCGGGTCGACGGGGACAGCGGCGTTCCGGCGGTCGGCGGGCGAAACGGAGAGGTGGACGAGGTCGGCGAGGTCGCGGCGAAGCCGAAGGAGGCGATGCCGAAGCGGGAGAAGGTCCGAGGCGACGACGGCGGCGGACCGGAGCTCGGCGGCGACGGCGGAGAGAGAGGACGACGGCGCGAGCTCGATTCCGACGGGGAGAGAGAGCGGCGAGTGGCGGAAACGGAGGAGGGAGGCACGGAGAGCGTTTATATAGGGTTGGGAGGGGGAGAGAGCGGCCGGATGAGGGGGAATCGGCCGCGGAAGATCCGGCCGCCATTGATGCGCCGGCGAAGTTTGCGGGAGTATTTCCAAACGAATCCGAGGGAGAGAGAGAGGGAAAAGTGGGGGGAAAGAGGGAGGGAATCACGGGGAGTGATTTCCCCCTCTTTATTGCGCGCGGGGACGGCGGGAGGCGGTGGGATTCGCGGCGGCGGCGGCGCTAGGGCACGGGCGAGGCGGCGGGAGCGGCGCGAGGTAGGGGATGACGGGTGGGCCCCACCCGTCAGCGAGGGTGGCGGGCGGGCCCGCCCGTCAGCGGCGCGCGCGCGCGCGGAGGGGGCCGGATGGGCCGCGGGGGAGAGGAGAGAGAGGGAGGGAGGTGGGCCGAGCCGGCCCAAGAGGGAGAGGGGGAGGGAAAAGAAACTTTTTAGGGTTTTTCTTTTTATAAAACCTTTTTAACTTTGTTTATTTCTTCTTAATTATTATTTGTGCTCTGAAAATTCCACTAAAATTTATTTACGCATTTTAGGCTTTTAGGAAATATACAAAAATCCTCCAAGCCTTATTCGACTTTTAACTTTGCACATTTTAATTGTTGGAGGCTTTCACATGGATTTTACTTATTCTATGCATAGTTTTGAGGATGTATTTTAGAGTCGTTTTGGGACGCGACACCAAATCCATTGGCTTCAACTTGGAAGCCATGTTGCTCATTCTAAGTATGTGGTCTCTAACACCACCTCCATGGTACCTTTCTGTCACAAGCTGCTTGATCAGCTGTGTAGCATAAGTCCTTGAAGAGCCAGTAAACTGACTCTTTATTCTTTCAAGGTACTCTGAGACAGCGTCACACTCTGGGATCGAGCCCAATATGGTAGGCTCAATCGTATTCTTTACCACAGCCAAACATTTCTTGTTGGCTAAGGACCATTTCTTTTGTTCAATGTCATACGACATGACGAGAGGAGCATTGTCCCTCTGTCTCTTTTGCCAGTCAGCATCTGACTCATTTTCACCTCTGACAAGTTCAGCAGGTTCTATAGGACATGGGGTAGTCAACACCCAGTCCACCTCTCCCAAGATAAAAGCAAGGTCGAGTTTTCTTTTCCATTCTGCGTAGTTATCTCCTTTTAGGGTCGGAATATCTTTAATGCAACCCATCAAGGAGTAGCCACCTGAAATAATCATGTGCGGTGAGAACAAAATTAACATTAAAATATTATGCATTAAGCCTACATCACCGTTGGGCAGAATTAGACATAACACATATAACCATAACTATAATATTGCAATTAACAACGTTGGTCAGAAAATTACAACATCATAGCACATAATTAATGTTCCTAAAATTAAATTCTCCCGTTGGTTCGAAATTTAATTTTAGAAACACTAATTTTCATCAATTTCATCTATTTGCAGCGGAAAACTATATAAAATCATATGAACAGTAGCAAAATCTCTGTAATTCTCTCTCTGTGAAAATTCTCCCGTTGGTTCAAATTTAAACAGAGGTAAAACATGCAAAAATCTATTCAAAATTCTATTGAAATTTGCATGAAAAATTGACAAAATAAAATGGAAAAATTGCTACTGTTCTCTTTTATTCATTTTCGCCCCCCCCCGAGGGACCTCATACGGACTTTTTCCGGTCGGCCCGCGGCCTTTTTGGCGCGCGCGGGCGCTCCCCCCTCCCACCAGGCCGCAACCTGGGCCTGGGCCGGGAAAGACGCCGCGCGCGCTCTCCCTCTTGGGCCGTTTTTGGCCCGACCGCCGCCAGCCGTCCGATCTTCTAGGGCTTCGATCGGACGGCCGGGTGGGGAGATCGGGAGATCAAAACCCGACCCCCAGCCGCCGGAAACCCTAGCTCCTCTTCTCTCGTGGGCGCGCGGCCGCGCCGAGCGGCGTCGCCGACGCCGGCGGCCCTCGCGCCGCCGCGCCATGACCGGCGCGCCTTTCTTTTCTCTTCTTCTCCGCTCCCCCCACCGTCTCTAACCCCCACCGTGTGAGAGAGAGAGATGGCGGCGGCCGAAAAGGCGGAGATGGCGGCGCCGCCGCGGGCTCCCTCGCCGGTGCGCGCGTGCACCGGCGGGTGCGCTCACGGCCGTCGAGTGGCTCCTCGGTGGTGCCCTTTGCCCTCCCCCTTTTGCCGGCGACGGCCGGCGACAAGGTAGGGTTAGGGTTTCGATCTTTTGATCCGTGCGGATCTTGTGCTTTTCTTTTTTTGGATTTCTTTTCCCGAACCGATCTAATCACTAGGGTTGCTCTGATACCATTGTTAGACTTTGCACTAGGTTCACCTAGGTTAGATCTAGTCGGGTAGTTCTATTTGGGATTGATGTTTGAACTATAGAGATTGAAAACGGGAGAGGGTTTAGATAGACCGACCGGTTGAGGTGTTGGAGGATGAAGAAGTGCCGGCCATCGTCGTCGTTGGCGCTCGGTTGTCGTGGATGCGGCGCCGGTGAGGTCGACGGCGATGACGGCTGCGGGAGTGACGGTCGTAGATGTCCCGGCGATGAGGTGTGGCGCGGCGGTGGCGCTTCCCGTCACTGGCTGCGCCCCCTCTCGATCGGATTAGGGTTTGTAGGGTGGAGTTGGCGGCGGCGGTGAATCTCGTACTCTCTGCCGTGCCGGCCTCCACCCCTCTTTTATATGGCGCAGTGTGACGGGGGCCCACCAGCCATTGGGCTGGGCGCCCCCGATCAAGGCGCGGTCAAGGCCCCCTTGAGCCGTTGGGCTCAAGGGGAGAGAGATCTATCTAACAACAATTACATTCGTATCAAAATAAATTTATTTTTATGTAAACTATGAAGTTATTATTTTAATTGAATAGTGAATTTATTTTAGGGCCAGTCAATACAGTAGGTAGACTAGGTGGAATCAAATTTAACCGTTGAACTTGCCTTGATACTTTTAGACTGTGTTCGTTAGATGGTGTTGAAAGCTAATCTCCTATGCACGTAAAACGGAGAGACTCATTAGCGCATAATTAATCATGATTTGTTATTTTTTTAAAAGAATAGACTAATATGATATTTGAAAGCAATTTTTCTATAAAAAAACCTATGAGAAAACGTAACGTTTACTAAATTTAAGAAGCGTGCGTGTGAAAAATAAGGTGATTTAACATAGGAGGGAGAAAAATTAATGTGTTCGCCGGTTAAAAAAGTCTAGCTCATAAGGCCAGTCCCAACCTAATGACTACGATGACGTCCGTAGCATTAAATAAACTGTCACCTAGAAACAACCATTGACAGCCTAATCTACAGCTCGACACGTCACACTATTAGTTTCTTAGATCACGAGCTGTACAGTGAAGTTAAAAGACTAAGGCCCTGTTTAAGTCCCTATCACATCGGATGTTTGAATATTAATTATAAATATTAAACGTAGACTATTAATAAAACTCATCCATAATCTTGGACTAATTCGCGAGACGAATCTATTGAGCCTAACTAATCCATGATTAGCCTATGTGATGCTACAGTAAACATTCTCTAATTATGGATTAATTAGGTTTAAAAAATTTGTCTCGTGAATTAGCTTTCATTTATGTAATTAGTTTTGTAAGTAGTCTATATTTAATACCCTAAATTAGTGTCTAAAGACAGGGACTAAAGTTAAGTCCCTGGATCTAAACACCACCTTAACAATCCGCTGCTTTCGGACTTCTTTTTTTAAACATCTAAAATTATTTTAGAGTAGGTACAATAGCAGACTATAAGCCAGCTATAAACATATTTTAAAGAGATAAAGAAAGAGAGAGAAGAGCAACGGCTGCAACATGGACTCCAAAACGTACCGTGTGTATGACAGATAGGACCAAATATTAATAGTATAGTAAGCAACTATTGTATGAATTAGCTATTATATTGGCTATAGGTGATTTGGAGCTAACAGTTGAGTATTCTAGCGTTATCCTATCACAGCACATGTACAGCTCAACAGGAATGTCACGTACTCACTCAGCGACAGTACGTGGAACGAGCTACCTAATTATGCTAACTAGCGCATGTGCATGAGGAATCTACCTTTACAGACGCGACCAAGCGCACCCTTCTTACTATGATGTTTTAAATCAGACAAGAGTAGATGCTCTTAGCACATGCACATCCTCTGGGAATTTGAGCCATCATATCTTCAGCTTATCTTGATGAGACTATATATAGGGCGTGCACAATTCCATCGAGATAAGCAAGACACCGAAAGTACAGTAACAGTAGTACAGTACACAGAAGCGATCGAGATTTGTATCTGAAGGGAGACAATGAAGTACTCATCAGGTATGGCATGCATTCTGTGATCTATCATGCGGTGATGAATACTCTTTCCGTCAAAAAAAAAAAAAACAACCTAGTATTAGTATTAGGATCTGACACATTTATAACGAATCTGGACATATTTAGATTTATTGCAGTAGGATGTTTCACATACTAATACGAGTTGTTTTTTTCTTTGGACGGAGAGAATACGTTGGATTCTAGTTTTGTTCAGAGCTATACGTAACTTTGTCTTAAAGTTCCCATGACAAATTTTTTTATTTTCTTTATTGCACCAAAAATCAAAATTAATAATTACAAAGATAGAATGTATCCTAAAATTTTTCTCGTGACCTTCTAAAAGTTATTTACTTGAAAATTTTAAAACTCAAAACAAAAAGGTACTGATCTGTACTCAACTCGGAGTATCAATTTAGTATTTCTTTTTAAATATATTATAGAAATCAGGAATTAGTAAGTGTCAACTATAATTGATGTGGACTTTCAATTAGATTTTCTTATTTAATATTTTCAGATTCGTACAATTAAATTTCAAGTTATATTCGGATCTCAATTATAGCTTTTCTATTATTTAATAATATAAACATTCTGAACTAGTAATATATATGAAAGCTGTATTTGCTTTGTATTACTCTCAATTATAACTGTTTAATGAACAAATAATTAAGAAATTCGTAATTCAAAGTATAGAGTTGTATCTTATTTGGAGTGTACAAAATAAGAATTAATAATATACCTTTAATAGAACATATAAATTTCTCAAAATGCCTGTCTAGTTTACATTTGTGGCGACCATAGAGTATCTTTCTTGGCTCTGCAACATACTCAAACTATCCGACATGGCCTAATATGGCGCGCGACTAGTCAAGAAGCCCACAATATTAATTAAGCACACGTACGTTATATTGTACGATGTATATATTGTTATTATATAATATATCACAATCTATTTAATCATCGGTTAGTAATTTCAATTATTAGTATATAGATAGATAACGGTCCATCGAACCGATTGGGCCCAGCATCATCGTCCAAGTCGTCGACGGCGTATTCCATAGCGCCGTCATGCTCCTGTAGTCCTTCTTGTTCGATCCATATTATAAAATTTTTTGGCCTCTTCATCTCTCGTTTAGTTTTACTAACGTTCATATTAATCTGAAGACATATATGAAAACATATACATAGATTCATGGATAAATCAACTCAAAACTAAAAATGTCTAATGTGAAGCAGAGAAAACAGTATATATAATAGCTAATTTACTTAGGTCTTGTTTGGGTTAATCCCTAAAAGAAAGCGTTGGTAGAGGATTGAGGGGCTTAATTCCACATTTCAATAGGCACAGAATTAATATTTACCCGAAATCCGTATAAATTTCTTTGGGTGGGATTAGACTGGCCTTAGAGCTATCATTAGTTATGCAATTCAAAACAAGCAGCAGACGGAAAACGCTTGGACGTATTGATCACACTGTAGTTTCAATCAAGATTGCCATCTACCGGACGCCCAATATAGTTTTCCGGTTTTGCCATTCCACGTTCTTAATTAATTGAACAATTATAGCCTTCTTAGTTCAATTGCCATTAATTAAACTGTTAGTAATAAACACGAGATGCAGGGTTATCAATTATAGTAGCAATGGAGACCATCCTAAAATTTGCCATGTTATGTTAGACATCAATTTTTTTTCTTGCGCCTGCACGTCCAAACGGTCCAAATATATATTAGTAAGACCCAAGGGATATTTGTTTGTTCTTGTTACTCTGTAAGCCGTTAGGTGCTGATGAAAAAAGAAAATGCAATTTGCTTTTATACCGTCACTCCTATAATAGGAAAAGGTTAAGCATCAAGTTGAGTGTAGCTCAGCGCAAGGTTTCTTGCGATGACATAACCTGCCCACCTTGTTAGGGTCTCTGACTCAGTACGAATGCTCACATTAAAGCCTAATTCGTGTGGTGACTTTATCAATCATGTTAAGATACGTTGGGATATGACACGCTTGTGTGTATTTATAGGGAAAATCTGCAGGGGTGTATATGAGTTGTTACATTTATACTATGTTTGGAAAAATGTTTAAATGAGTAATTGCTGCCTGTCGATGTTTTCTAAACGATCGACAATAATAAAAGGGATGGCATATAGATGCGGTAATTTCCCCATTGGGGACGTTGCCGGGGGCCTGGGCACACACCACAGGGCTCTGCGACGCGCCCCCTTTAGTCCCTCTATATGTATTTATTATATATACACACGTATACTTCGTATGTATATATATATACTTATATATATATAACTTATAATTATATGCATATATTTTTGTCATATGTATACAAAGTTTTTATAACTATATATACGTACATATAAAAAAAATACACCTATACACTTATATGTACGTAAAAAGTATATATACGTACCTATATAAAATCATATAAAAAACCATAAAAAAAGGGAACGGAAAAACTAAAAGAGAAAAAAAAAGAAAAAACCGAATGGAAAAACTAGAAAAAAATTGTGCAAGGGTCATCTCCTGCGCGCCGTTTCGTCCCACCCCCCTCTCTGCGCACGCCACATGGCATGTTGCGCAACGGTGAGGCATGCGCCTAGTCGCAGTTAACTCCAAAATTTGTAGTTTGCGCCAATAAAGATCTGGGGCCATAGGCCGAACACGGATTTTTCGTCAACAGTCACATAATAGGAGTTTCAACACGGCCCTGCCAAGGACCCACTCGTACGGGGCCTAGGACAGGAAGAATTCTCAACCCATAGGGCTGCTACGGCGAGGACCTGACTTGTTGCTGGGGCAGGGATGGGTTATGACATCTACCTGCGGGCCTTGGAATTTTGTAACTAGGTGAAACCCCGCGCATTGTTGCAGGAATTTAGTATGATAACAATAAAAAAATAACGTGTTAGATAGCTAGATAACATCAAATTAAGTAAATTAATGTGGTTTATGATAATTAAAATTTAAATAGTATGTAGAATGGTGATTCAAACATAAAAGGTGGTATGACTTTATGGAAGAAGAAAAGTAGGGAGATAGTTTGGACCGTAGATTAATCATCTGAAGGCTAAAAACAATTGATATGGTAGAGGAAAAAAGGAGAAAGATAATTTGGACCATAGATTAATCATTTAAGCACTAACTAAGTAAGGATGAACTATATAAGCATATAGGATATCATAAAACATAATAAAGATATACATTGAAACATTATTGAATTATGTTGGATGATAATTTAACATATTTGTATTTGAAAAGCTCTTAAATTATAAAAACTATAAAGATATAGCATGTTTGCATGATGTTTAAATGTGATGATTGTTAGTGGATGATGATGTGGCATCTTGTTAATTAGTGAATGATGATGTGGCATCTTTGCATGTTAAGCTTAAGGAGTTAGTGGGGGATAACTTTATAGTAAGATAGGATATCAGAGATGGTAACGGCCCCTCAATTATGAAAACAAACCCCACTTAGCCCATGCAACAACCCTAGCCTTATCACTTCCCAAAATCTCTCCGCACAAGTACACCACACGCCACCGCATGCCAAGTAGCGATGGAGCGAGTCGCGCGGTGCCCACACTGTTGCTCTACCTGTTCGTGTGTCCCCGCTGCTGCTCTACCCACTCTTGCGTCCCTGCCTTGGCACCACCTGCCATCATTTTCACCACCACGTCGCCACTCCACTGCCAGCTGCTTGTTACCCTCTCCTCTTCTTGTTGCTTGCCTCGTGCCCCATTGACAAAGGGCCTGCTACTGCTCTTGGTACCCTCGTGCTCCCTACTATCTTTCAATTGCTAATTCGCTCTCAAAGTCTTGCCGCCACCCGCGAAAACCTCGATCCCGGATGTGCACCTGGGTGATGCGGGGCCCTGCTCCCCTGATGGGTCCGTTGTGGCGGCTCGCACAAGTGACGTTTTTCACCGGTTGCCTTTGCGGGGCCGGAGCTGTGGATAGGGCCTGGGGGAGATTGTGGGGAGCGGGGCTGGGCCGTTCCTATCGAACCTAGCGTCCTAGTAGCGCAAAAGACCTAAAAGTCGATGGATGTAAAAAAAAAGGATTTAAACAGGTTCAAGTACTCTCGACGAGAGGTAATATCCCACTCCAGTTTGAGGATTGTATTCACTGAGTGTTGTGTTCATCCGATAATCTAATTGTGGTTATGTCCTTGGAGGGATAGGGTTCCAAAGAGGAAAACTTAGCCGAATACAGTTTGAGTCTCATAATCTATACATAGTAGTAATCAACCGTGGCTCTAAACCCTGCGTTAGGATATAAGAAAACTTGGATAATACATGGATCCAGCCCACCTCTTATTTGTAGTCATATATGTAGCCCATGTGGGTACCCGGTATCCATATCCTCCATAGTAGTCCGCGCACATGCGCTGGAAATTTATTTTTATCATTAATGTTTATGTGTGGGTGACTTTTCCTTGAAATATTTCTTGTACTCTATTGTGATTCTATTTTTGTCAAAAAAATATTTAGGGCTGCTTTGGGAGTCGGTTATGACATTCCTCGAATTACCCTTGCAACATATGAATTCTAAACTAAAATTACATGGAACGGTTCAATCTTGAATTAATGAGAAAATATTGTGATGCAATAAGGGAGTTGATTACTATGAAACTATCATTTGTAAAAGGTGAGTCGATGTGGCTATACCTGCCTACAGTATTTATAGAGTATGAGGATCGCGAGAATCAGGGTGTATGTGAGATTGAGGCAGAGAGACGGGAAACATGGATTTTTATAAAGGTGCGGGCCCCTTAACTAACAAGTAATAGCGCCCTACTCCTGCTGAGTGAAGCCAGTATGGCTTTTATATGTCATTCTCACATGAGTACAATATTCGGAATGATGTAATCTAGTCCCTGTCAGTTTGGCGGCATGGAGTTCTTACACGTAGTCGATAGCTAGTGTAGTCTTCTTTCTCGAACTTGAACTCATTGAGATTGGAGGTCGCTCTAGATCTCCCTTGTTGGCCTTTGTGAC